ACATAACACTAGCTAGGTATACATAACACTAGCTAGGTATACATAACACTAGCTAGGTATACATAACACTAGCTAGGTATACATAACACTAGCTAGGTATACAGAATAACCATTTTGATTGCTGAATAAACAAAAGAACAACGCTTGTGATTCCCGAATAAACAAACATTTGTAAGGAATTAAACTTTATCTAGCATATTACGGTGTCAGATAAATTATTAACCGATTATTAATATCTGGTTTGACGGAGCTTACCAGATAATGTACACGTTGCCGACTTGGTTTTGGGTTGGTGTTGATCAATCACGTAAGTAGGGGTTTTAAGGCTACCACAGTATCTTACTGAGCAATCAGCAAGTATACTGATCGGTATATATACCGTGGTGTTACTGTTGGTGAGTTCGTGAATGTGTAGAAGTGACATAAGCACGGTGAGTGGAGTCGATACGAGTCTCTGGAAGTTCTTGTGGAGGCAGCAGCTCTGCCACCGTGTAGTGCTCTTCTGAGCTCTGGCGGAAATAGGCTATGGTGTGAAGTGGTTGAGTCGCATCATAAGATCGCGTTAGGGCCCGATCCTCAATGGTATGACCTAAGTAAGAGATGCTATGTATAGGCTGAGTTCCAGGAACGCTGACCACCACAGGCGCCGCCATCTGCAGCACCCCGCTATCCCCTAAGGAGTACACTGTTGCCACGCTCACTCCCCCGCTCTCCGATACCTGTGATGGCACTTCATCCACACCCGGAGAAATGTCATCGGTTAAGCTGCCCTGATCGTCCAGTATTTGTGGCACCTGCACTGTGACAAGGGCTTCATCCCTTTTAGTTTGTGCAGCACCTAAACGAGACTGATTAAGTGAGCCTCGGGAGGGTGGGTCAGCAGCATGAAGCCTTTTCCTGTATTTACCATGGTATTCCACCCTGTGCACACGACGAACATGTTTGGCCAGTCCATTAGGCTTCATAAAGGTCCGGCCACACACCTCGCAAACGTGAGGCCTCTCTCCTGTGTGTAGGCGACGGTGATACATAAGAGCTGACGAAATCTTAAAACTCAGACCACAAAATTCACATACAAACTTTTTGACGTTGTGATGAACGCCAGTAACGTGGGTGCGGAGGTCAGACGGTGTTATGAACTTCTTACCACACACATCACACAGGTGGCGTCGAGCCTCTTGTCCCAGGTGGTTTCGCTTGCGGTGACTCAACAGGTTAGAAGCATCATGGTAGACTGCTGGGCAGTCACAGCAAGGATACGATATCTCCCTTGTGTGACAGTCATTTACGTGGCGCTTAAGGCTATGTGGGACAATAAGGGCTTTGCATTCTGGACAAGGAACTTTTTTGTGAGTAGCTAAATGGCGCGAGTATACGGCTGATCGCACCTGTTTTCGACACACTCGGCACTCTCGAGTCTTCACAGCCTGGTCCTCAAGTGCGACACTTGTCTCACCCTCGTCTTGATAATGTATCTTACAATGCTCTAGGTATATCTCAAAGTTACCACTCATCTTTTCGTTACAACAGATGCACTTAAGAAATTGAACATCAGAATGAGTTTTCTTAAAGTGGTTCTTTAAGCTGCAAAGATTACGGAATAAAATAGAACAAACGGGACATTGTTTGGTATGGGAAAAAGGCAATGTACCCTTCATGTCTTCCACGTTACAGTTGCTGGAGCACACAAACGCTGTATCCACTCCGTCTGTACCTCCAGTTGTCGATGTGCTGTTGTCCTCTTGCTTCAGTGTGTGCTGGAGGCTATCATGGTGTGGCTGGGCCCCTGAGGGATCCTCGGGAGGATGTAGGTCAAAGCCTCCAGCAGCAGTAGTCTGGAGCCCAAGCCTCTGGAGGTGCTGCATGGAGGCCGCCGCTCCCTGCAACAGCAAGAGTCCCGATTCACACTTTCAGGATCAACCGAAAGATAAAACGATATAATCTTAGCTAAGCCTTCACTATTAAGTTATTACTTATGATTTGGTATATGACAAATTATTTGCATGAACGTGTCTAAAATGTTACTAATTTACAATGTTTCTTTCATGTATCCAATAACGCATACACTTAAGTGACGTCAGAGGCCTACTCGCCTGTGATTGGTTATGTCTCAACCGCCATATAATTTGAGTATAACATATATATATATATATTTGGACAGTTTTTGTGTATAAATTTCTTGGTATGTTTAACGGTCTAAGTGACAGTTCTATCATGCCGCTTTCAAGTCATCCATATAAAATGTATAGTCCAGAACTTGGGTTCATTACTCCGTGTTTAACATTTACAATCTGAATCCAATATCAGTCGGTGTAGTATAGGCCAAACTGGAACAACAGTGTTCGGTAGAGCAGGGCACGAGAAGCAGACATTCTGGTTCAAACGCCAGTGGGTTCCAGAATAGTCATCTTTCAAGCTGAATGTCTCTTGTGCATTTTATTATAATTGCATTCAAAGCATGTCAGGCAACAGACAGTCCAGAGAACAGTGCGTTCACTCAAAGGACCACTAGAGATAAATAGTTGATTTGTAACTGCAGTTATGCAGTTTATCATAACATAGTTATGATAAAAGTATCGCAAAATAACGCTATATTAGTCACCAATATCTGAATCTAAATATATATCTCACTTAAAATTATTTGGATATTTTAGCAATATTGGACTTTATTTTTACGTCGTATACCAAGTCGCATCAGTTTCCTTGTTCTTAAATTTTCTAAATATATTTTCCTGTTATTCTTATCTTGTTCTGCTATTGTCTTGGCCTCCAGAATGATAACTAGGGATACTTATAAATTTTGCAACAACACACACTGTTATTCTGACTTGGCATATTCCTTGTGATGAGCAATATTTTATATTAAAGGAGCCAATATTTAGATTTGTTAGATATAGAATTAAACCCCGATTCAACGAACGAAATGGTACCAACCCCAATTCGTTACAACCGGAGATGTCTCCAGGATGCATTTCCCATACCTTATGGGATAATTTCACTTAGCAAAATTTTAATTTCAACCTGAATTAGAATAGACAACTACCAAATTAACATGTTTGCAAACAAATTAACCACATCTAGCTTATTTCTCACGTCCTCAGCTTCAACATTCATTAAAAAAGTAGCAGAGTCATACCTGAGTGAACGAAAACCTTGCCAACTCAAAATGAAAACAAACCATAGAATTTAGTTTTAAATATCCTCAATAGCTTTTCTAAGGCTTCAACTGTTTTTTTGAACTTAGTCCATCTATAAAAAAAATCATAAAAAATGTGACTGGAGTTATATTAAGAGAGTTACTATTCACCCTAATATTTCTCATGCTCTATGGGCTAATTTTAATTTCAAACTGTCATATGAAGGACAAGTACCAAGAGAACCTGTCTGTGAAGAGATTTAACTACATCTAGCATATTTCCCACGCCCTAGCCTTCCAATCTACAGTACTAGTGGCTTTACAAGATTGTAAATACTATGCTATGTATTCTCACAAACCCAATGTACCTTCTTGTATATAAATAAATAAATAAATAAATAAATAAATAAATAAATAGAATAAATCTCATTATCAAAGAAAAAAAGGACCCATATTAGTGAACGAAAACGGGGGAATTTCAAAATTAAAATGAACCATAGAATTTCGTTTAAAATATCCAATGGATTTCCCAAGGACCCTTACTATTTGCAAACGATGAGTCACAATAACGTGGCTAAAGTATGTTGACCAGACCACACATTAGAAGGTGAAGGGACGACGACGTTTCGGTCCGTCCTAGACCGTTCTTAAGTCGATGTGAATGATCATTCTCAAGTCGACAATCGACTTGAGAATGGTCCAGGACGGACCGAAACGTCGTCGTCCCTTCACCTTCTAGTGTGTGGTCTGGTCAACACCCTTACTATTTCTTGTAATATTGCACCAATCTACGAAGATCACTAAAATCGTAATTGTAGCTATATTAAGAATTACCATTCGCCCAGCAACAAAATTACAAAATGCCCAACAAAAAAATCCCAAATGTGAAACAAAACAATTCCAAAATGCCCAATAAAAATGTTGGAGAGTTTGTGGGTGAGGTGTGTGAGTCGGGAGACACCGGGGTGTGTAGACGGGGAGGGTATGTGGGGGTGAGGGGAGACAGGGAAGGTGTGTGTTGGAGGGGGGGGGGGGTAGACAGGGAAGGTGTGTGTGGGGGAGCCCTGTAAGGGTGTGTGGGAGAGGCCTTGGGCACAGGGTCGACCTGGACACTGCCGGATATCTCAACTAGTGGCCAATATGACAAATATACAATTGATGAGGTGCATCTGTTTAGGTCGTGAATAACAGCTTTCACTAGTGTATTAGAATGGGTGCCATAAGCACAATTTGAGAATACAATATATCAACATCAGAAGCCCTGACTTTACAATCTTCTACCAACAAATATAAAAAATTGACTGAAACAACAGTGGAAGCTCCTCCGCTCGGTGGCTCCATGAAGCTACCTTGCTGATATTCCTAATCTCATGGGTCACATCAATCGCAATTCTGTTTGACCTTCCGGGGACCAGAGCTAGAGCCTGAATTCCCCTTTACTTCACCTTACAGAACTGCAGGAAGTGAGTAATAATCTTCCACCCTACCAGGAAAATCATCCGTTAAGTCGGCAAAGCTTTGTAAAGCTTTGCCGAATTCAAGATTATATTATTCCTCCCCCATGTACCCTGAACCCTCAACGTCTTAGTCTCACCTATCACCACCTCCCTCAATTAACAACATACTCAGAATTCATTCCAAGATCTTTTGTTAAAGATGGCAGAAATAGGTTTTAAGAAATAGCAGTGTGTGTCAACACAATTGGAGGCTTCAAAATCTTTTATGATTACAGAATATAAGGAAGACAGAGTACTGCAAATTTTGCTTTCTTTCTGTAACTACAGTTACATATTTACTACCCCCCTCACACATTTTTCTTCATTTAACAAATATTAATTTGTCAACACTATTAAAGGTTACTAACCTCAATATAAATCCAGGGCACCTCCACCATGAAACGACTGCTTTCTAATCCATTTCAGTAGGCACTGTGATCTCCAAAACCTCTTGTTTTGATATACTTGGTTCATTTATAAATGGAACTGCTGTGCTTGGAAGGTGTGAGCCATGTCGCCTAGCCCGACTACGATCTTCTCGACTTTTTGGTTGCCCTTTCTTGTAGTACACGCCTAGATACTCTTCTTGATGGTCACGCTTCAGGTGACGCTTTAAGTAAGACGGGATATGAAATGATCTCTCACACTTTGAACATGAGTGGGGCCTCTCCCCGGTGTGCAGGCGACGGTGATACAAGAGTGCTGATGAGACCTTGAATCCAAGCCCACAGAACTCGCACACAAACCTTTTAATATTGTTGTGAACACCATTCATATGGATACGAAGGTCAGACGGCGATAGGAATTTCTTGCTGCACACTTTACATAGGTGGTGTCGTGTCTCATCACCAAAATGATTCCTCTTGCGGTGACTTAACAAACTAGAAGCATCATGATACATAGTTGGACAGTCAGGGCATGGATAATTTCTCCCCCTCGTGTGACAGTCATTTACATGACGCTTAAGATTGTGTGGAAGAATATGAGTCTTACACTCAGGACATGGGACTTTCTTATGAGACGCTAAATGACGTAAAAAATTTATTTTTCGCACTTGCTTATGGCACACTTGGCATTCTTGAGTCTTAGCCTCACTCCCTGTTGCAGCCTCCTCTCCCTCTTGATCCAAGTGTGACCTTAAATGATCTAGAAACATTTCATAATTACCATATATCTCACTGCTGCAATGTAAACACTTCAGAAATTCCAGGTCAAAGTGGGCATTTTTTAAGTGATTTCTCAAACTAAGATGACTTTGGAATATAGAAGAGCAAGCAGGACATTGTTTGCTCAAACTCGTAGACAATTTAATCTTCAGGTGGTGTATATTACTGCCACTACTGTGTGTCTCACATGCTGTACCAAGCCCATCTACAGCTCCTTTTGATGATGTTCCTTCCAGTTCCAGTGCATGCAGGTGGCTGTCATTGTCTGGGTCAGTTTCTGGGATATCTTTTGAGTGTTGTATTCCTACGTTATTAGTAGTCATCTGGTAGCGAAGCCTTTGTAGGTGCTGGCCAGCAACCTCTCCCTGCAAGAACGAGAGTCCTCATTCACATCTTCAGCAAGAATTGAATGACATTCTCTTGAAACTAATACTACCATTACACAGTTTGTCATTATTTGATAGTTAAATGGAGCATATCTATATAGAAGAGAATGGCTGTCTCTTCGAGTTTGGGGACCGGACGCTTGGAGGTTAGCCTCATCTAGCTTTGCAGGGTGATTGGTCTTTGTTCAGGGATGGTCATAGGTGGATCGGAGTCGAACCCTATGTTCCCCCACCCCACTCTTGCATGAAATGGTAAATCATAGTAATTTCCAATCTTTTTTTTTTATTTATATATACAAGAGTTCTTACATTCTTGTACAGCCACTAGTACGCATAGCGTTTTGGGCAAGTCCTTAATCCTATGTTCCCTGGAATAAGACACCCCGCGAAGAATAGTTTTTACAACCAAGTACCCATTTTACTGTTGAGTTAAGCAGAGGCTACAGTTAAGGGTTTGCGCCCAGTAAATCCTCCCCAGCCAGGATACGAACCCAGGACAAAATGCTCGCGAAACACCAGGTGAGCGTCTTAACCACTACGCCACGGAGACTGGTTATGAAGGATCATAACAATACCATAACAGAATCATGTTAAATAATGGACTCCATCCTCACTATGATTACAGGGATGAATGAAAGTAACGGAGAGTAGTCAAGGTGTTGAAAAGTAGGGAATGTGATAATGGACAGGGAAGGTGAAGAATATGTTAAGTAGTAAAGGGTAAGAAAAGTGAAGATTAGAGAAAATGGTGAAGGGAGGGTTAGTTGTGAATAATAGGAAAGATTGTGAAGGGTAAAGAAGGTGGGTGAAGTTTAAGAAAGGTGGTGAAAGGCAAGGATTGTGGTGATGGGTAGGGAAGATGAAGAGTAGGGAAGTTGATGAGCAATCAGGAAGGTGAACTAGTGGGACGATGGTAATGGTTAAGGATGGTGGTGAGTGCTAGAGAAGATGGTAATGAATAGAGAGGGTTATCTTGAGATGATTTTGGGACTTAGTGTCCCCCACAGCCCGGTCTTCAACCAGGCTTCCTTTTTGTTACACATCCCCAGGAAGCAGCCCGTAGCAGCTGTCTTAACTCCCAGGTACCTATTTACTGCTAGGTGAACAGAGACATCAGGGTGAAAGAAACTGCCCATTTGTTTCCACCTCCACCGGGGATCAAACCCGGAACCTCGGGACTACGAATTCCTAGCACTATCCACTTAGTTGTCAGGCCCCTGTACGGGAGGTGAAGGGTAGGGAAGTTGAAGGATAAGCGAAGATGATGAAGGATAAGGGGATGATGATGGTGTGGAAGGTGGTGAAGGGTATAGAAAGTGGTGAAGGATAAGAAAGATGATGAAAGAGGGAAGGTAGTGATGACAATGGTTGTGAATGGCAGTATCTAGCAATGCCTGGGTAGTGAACATGGTTCTAGTGATAAACAGTATGCAATGAAGGTAATTACACTGATGGGGATGATTATGTAGTGAAGATGGTTACAGTAAACACATTTTCACAGTATGTTGTGAAAATGTGGTGGCCGTAACCCAAACAACGCCAGGTATCCTCTCTAGTAAATTATACACAGTAGAGCTAACAATGTTATTTACACTTAGTCTTCTTCAATGATTGCAATATCAACCATAAATGTTTATAGTAATTACTAAATTAATATTCATACTTGAGACTGCAGTTTGAAAATGGATTCCCTTTTTTATTTTGTTCCTGGGATAACATACGGACCACTCTGTAGCACAGAATGCTAAAGAGTGGCAAACAGGTAAATGGCTTGGGAGAAAAAGCAAATAATTTTTTTTTTTTTACAGCCAGAAAGAGGTTTCAAAAGGTGGAACAAAGAGAATCCATGGTATTGGAACTGGCAAAGAGAACTACACACACAATGTTATGAGGAAGGGAAATTATAGTCATTAAGACGAGATCTTTCAAAGCAAGACTAAGAAGCTGAAACTGAACCTCAAAGCAAAATGTTTAAATGAGAGTAGGAATGAGAAAGAAATCATTTGTTTTTTCTAAAACGTGATAGGAATTGGGATGCTAGTGAAATGGTACAGGTATAAAAAAAAAAAGTTCAAAATTTGCACGGTAAAATAACAACATACTGGAGTGAATATGGTAGGAAATGCAGAAGAAAGCCAGTGAGGAGTAGAGGTGCTATAAACACCATTTACCTGCTTACTCCCATCATTTACTCGAAAACGATTAAAGACATTAAATTTGGATTACCTGAATACTGTATTTGGGTTACTGGTGTACAGATTACCGAGATTAAAAGCATAAAAGCTTAAATCTAAAAATACGGAATATAATTTTACAGTATTTGTATAATAATCAAGAAATAACTCAAACTCTACACAACACAAAATTGTCAAACAGATGCCAGTGAAAAGCAGAGGTGCGTTAGACACATTCAGAGTACACTGCATGAACATTATGCAGAACATATATCTTTCCAGAACATATAAGAAATATTGCTGGAACAAAAGTTAATAAAGAAAAAATTAGTTTCCTGCAAGAAGTGTCAGATCAGCCAGGTTGTAGTGGATATGTATTCTACATATAGAGGGAGCCGGTCGGCCGAGCGGACAGCATGCTGGACTTGTGATCCTGTGGTCCCAGGTTCGATCCCGGGCGCCGGCGAGAAACAATGGGCAGTTTCTTTCATCCTATGCCCCTGTTACCTAGCAGTAAAATAGGTACCTGGGTGTTAGTCAGCTGTCACGGGCTGCTTCCTGAGGGTGGAGGCCTGGTCGAGGACCGGGCCGTGGGAACACTAAAGCCCCGAAATCATCTCAAGATAACCTCAAGATACAGGCCACTCCAAGCAACAGTCTGTTGGACCAAGCTCTCACAAGTCAAGCCTGGTCTTGGACCGGGCTTGGGAGAGTAAAACTCCCAAAACCCCCTTTAGGCACAGTTAAATACTTCATCTCCAGACAAGATTGTGGTGTTATTTTATATAAATGTCTATATATACCTATATGTTATACAGTACATACTGTACATCCCTGTTTCTGTAAGTGTATTATTTTTAATTTAAATGTAATTTGAATACCAATAACTTAAGGGAGGATGCCAGATACTGGCAAAGTTATCTTCACCAATTTTACATATTTTCCATAAAGCTGTTTGAATCATTCCCACTTTTCCATACTTAGACATTAAGCAACTAATGTACTGCACATAAAAGTGTGATGCATTTACAAACAATAGTGTAATATTTCATATTTTTTAATTGCTGATTTCCTTGCAGTTCACCTTGCAATTCGTACATTTTATGTATGTTTAAACATGGGAATGTAAAACAACAAACTACAGAACATCAAGTGTAATACTTTATTTAATCAAAATCCTGTTATAATTTAAAGAAAAAAATTGGAATTTAAACTTTGTGAAATTTTTTGCAAATCTATTGTAAAATCAAATTGCATGTACTGTACAGTACAGTATTTTTTTCTCATATCCTGTACAGTTATTTAAATACAATTTAGATATGCTACTGGGTTGGTAGAATTGTAGTGTTGGAAAAAATATATTCATCAAGATATAAACAATATTTTTCATTACTGTACTTAAATATTAATTTTCATATACAACATATACTACACCACCCTGTTCTAATTCAAGACGTTGATCTCTACCCAATTCCTGTGCACTACCTACAGCAGAGATTACCTCACCACCCATTTCCATAGGAACTGTTATCTGTACAATCTCTGGTATTGGTTCAACTGTCTCTTCTAAAGTGGAAACCAAAGGTACTGTCCTGTTTGGTCGATGTGGGTGGTGGCGCTGGGCCCGGCTGCGTTGTTCTTGACTTTTGGGTCGTCCTTGCTTGTAATATACACCAGTATACTGTGCTCTGTGATCGTGTTCCACGTGCCGCTTTAAGTACGAGGGAACACGAAATGATCGCCTACACATGGTGCATTGATGAGGCCTTTCACCAGTGTGTAATCGCTCATGGTATGTTAGGGAAACTTGACTCTTGTAGCCTTTATTACAAGTTGTACACCAATAATTCCTTTCACCTCGATGAACACGTGACATGTGAATTCGCAGATCAGCTGGAGTTAGGAAGCCCTTTTTACAAATGGCACAGATGTGTTTCCTTACTTCCTCTCCCATATGAACTCGTTTCACATGAAAATGGAAGCTTGCCTTATTATGATACACTGCACCGCAATCACCACATTCAAACTTCTTCTCTTTGGTATGAAGATTCATGTGAATTTCAAGATTTTTTACAGTAATTCCACAAATCTCACAGGTCTGTAATGAATGAGTATGATTCCTCATGTGATACTTCCACTGAACTTTATGAGCAAATAACTCCCCACATAATTTACATCGAACTGGTCTCTTATCATAACCAGCTTCTTTAGGATGTTTAAACTTCAAGTGTGCCACATAGGTTGAATAATTTTTGAGTGTAGTTGAACAAAATTTGCAATTATAACCTTCAAACTCCGGATGAACACTTAAAAGATGCCTCTTTAATTGATCAACTTGTCTGTACTTCAGCCTGCAGGCAGGGCATTGATGGGCACCATATCGATGTCCCCATTTATGCGCTGTCAGTGTTCGCTCAGTCCTGAATCTGCGCTCACATTCATCACATTTAAAATTAAAAGCATCAGGGTGATCTTGGTATTTGTGATGATAGAGTTGATTAGTAAGGGAAAAGTGTGCATTACATAGATTACATGTGTGTGGAAGTACTTCACTTTTTATTTCTGAATCCTCATGGGTTTTCATATGTTTATCAATGTCCACTGCCAATACTTCTTTGTTACATATTTCACATGTCCGAAGAGCTCCCCGACCATGATCATGAGCTCGATGTGCTTCATAAGAATCATAATGTGTAAATTCAGCTTTACATTCTCCACATGAAACGACATAGCCATTCTGGTGACAATGCTCCAAATGTGCAG